AAGTCTTTAAAAGTATAAAATGGACAAATATCTGAAAATTCCGCTATTTCCTACCCATTTTCTGGCTGTTTTCAGACGTTGGAGGAAGAGAAGAGAGAAAGAGAGTTTTCAAGTTTTTCTTCCGTCGATTCGCTAGGGTACGTCAGTCGGAATCGCTTGAATTTAGAATTAAAGTTAGTCTACGCAACGAGGGCTACGCATGGGTACCAAAAATGAAGGATTTCACTGAAGGTCTAAAGGGGAGATTTTGGAAAAATTAAGTCCTGGTGGGTATTTTATTGAGCTCAAACCGAAAGGAAGAAGAAGAAGTGGTGCTGTCAATCCTAGACAGTACATGAGTTTCTTATTCATTTCATAAGCTACGATTATTTAATAATTTTGGAATTTTGAGGTTATAATGTAGACTGAAAAATGATTCGTTTGGTTTTGGTTTCAAGTAAAATGGAGATAAATACGAGTTTTGGTGATTTTTGAAAGTTAACCCCAGCCTATAGAAATTGATCTGGAAAATCTGGACAGCATGTAGTTTCTTAATTGTTTTTATGAAGTAGAGTTCGTTTATGAATCTTAAACTTTGAGGGTTTGAAATCGATTCATAAAGGGTTATTTTGGCTTTGCTCTCATGCCAAAAGGATGAAAACTCTATTTTTGGTGAATTTCTAAAAATGATTATGACCTGCTGGAACCTGAAAATTCTGTAACTTACACTTAGTTTAGGAGTTACTTGGAACAGGTATTTAGTGTTCAAAAATAGTGATTTTTGGTGATAGATAATTCCTATGAGTCTATGTTCATCTCCCACATATTTTTTTTAGAATTGGATTTTAATAACTAGAGTTAGAGTTGTTTTAACTCATGTAGGTTACCTACACAATGTTCAAAAATGCTAAACGCCTACGCTTAGTTGGAAAATAACCCTACATGGGACATTAAAACTGAACAAGAGAGGAAGTGTTCTTGAGGCTTTCTACACTCATTTTGCACTTCTATTAAGGTAGGGATTCTCCTACTTTGGTTCATTCCTATTTAAAATGTTATATGTATTGTGTAGGATTTCTTTTATTTGGATTGATTCTTAATCTAGAATGCCCATATGAAATGGTTAGTGGTATAAAATGTTTTATAACTTGCCTATAGTCATGAAAATGGTAAATTAAGTATGGGCAAAGTTCTAGTTAAATTTGTTATGTAGGAGTTCTGTAAATAATTCCTTGATACTTTATGATATTTGATGTGTGTGGGGGCAATATTGTATGTTTACATGATTGTTGCCTAGAAGGTGTTTGCTAAAATGTCTAAGTGTGAATTAAAGTTGTTATGACATGACAATGTATAACATGCTTATAGAATGTGTTGTTTATATATATTGACATTGTAATGATTCATGAAATTTATATGCTTATGATATGAATTACCATGGGATTGTCTATATATGTAGTTGATCTAGCTCATTGGGCACTATTGCACATTGAGCATGACATAGCATCACATTCAAGGGCTACATGCATTAGTGTGGGTGTATGGTTGCATGGGGTGATCAACACCAACATTGGTGCTTGATGGTGGGCTCGGGAAAGTGGGATGGAACGTCCTACGGAGTCGCACGGTTACATGAATAAGAAAACTTGTGTCGGGTATAGTAAGTAGGGCTAGACACTCTCTCGGGTGAAAAACCCGGCTACTTGGTTCATATACTTATCGGCGGTGAAATTCCAGAAAAGTGTAACTGTGTAAGGAGCCGGAGGTGCGATTCTTGAATCCGATACCCCATAAAGGCACATGATTTTGATATATAAATTATTCATTTGATGGGAAGCATCCAAGAATGAATTGGTTTTATGACATATGGTTCATTTCAAAATGATCTTTGGATGTGTTTCATCAAAGACGTTTGTTTTACACATATGAGTCGCATTGTGTTGTGGGAGTCGGTGTGGGCTCGGGATAGCATGCATGAGTGAGTTTCATCTCATTACTTGGCATGACATCATGAGATTCTATCTTGAATAAAATATTCTTATTTAGAAAAATTTGTTTATGACATGTGCGTGTTGCATACGCATTTTAGGTGGGCAGTAGCCTCTGTAGGAGTTTTTCTATTGAGCGTTGGCTCACCCTATATGGGAAACATTTCAGGTGAGAGAGGTAAATGTTTCCTATATAGGGTGAGCCAGCGCTCAATAGAAAAAATCCTACAGAGGCTACTTCCCACCTAAATTGCGTATGCAATACACACATGCAACAAACAACTTCTTCCAAATAAGAATATGTTATTCAAAATAGAATCTCATGATGTCATACCAAGTAATGAGATGAAACTCACTCATGCATGTTATCCTGAGCCCACACCGACTCTCACAACACAATGCGACTCATATGTGTAAAACATACGTCTTTGATGAAACACATCCAAAGATCATTTTGAAATCAACCATATGTCATAAAACCAATTCATTATTGGATGCTTGCCATCAAATGAATAATTTATATATCAAAATCATGTGCCTTTATGGGGTATTGGATTTTGGAATCGCACCTCCGGTTCCGTACGCCGTTACACTTTTCTGAAATTTTACCGTCGGTAAGTGTATGAACCAAATAGCCGGGTTTTTCACTCGAGAGAGTGTCTAGTCCTACTTGCTATACCCGACATAAATTTTTTTATGCATGTAACCGTGCGAGTCCGTAGGACGTTCCATCCCACTTTCCTGAGCCTACCATCAAGTACCATTGTTGGTGTTGATCACCCCTTGCAACCATAAACTCATACTCATGCATGTAGCCCTTGAATGTGATGTTATGTCATGCCCAATGTGCAATGTTGCCCAATGAGCTAGATCAACTACATATATAGACAATCTCATGGTAATTCTTATCATAAGCATATAAATTTCATGAATCATTACAATGTCAATATATATATAAACAACATATTCTATAAGCATGTTATACATTGTCATGTCATAACAACCTTAATTCACACTTAGGCATTTTAGCAAACACCTTCTAGGCAACAATCATGTAAGTATACAATATTGCCCCCACACACATCAAATATCAAGGAATTATTTACAGAACTCCTACATAATAAATTTAACTAGAATTTTGTCCATACTTAATTCACCATTTCCATGACTATAGGCAAGTTATAAAATATTTTATACCACTAACCATTTCATACGAGTATTCTAGATTAAGAATCAATCCAAATAGAAGAAATCCTACACAATATATATAACATTTTAAATATGAATGAACCAAAGTAGGAGAATCCATGCCTTAATAGAAGTGCAAAATGAGTGTAGAAAGTCTCAAGAACACTTCCTCTCTTGTTCAGTTTTAATGTCACATGTAGGGTTCTTTTCTAACTAAGCGTAGACATTTAGCATTTTTTAACATTCTGTAGCTAACCTACATGAATTAAAACAACTCTAACTCTAGTTATTAAAATTCAATTCTAACAAAATATGTGGGAGATGAACATATACTCATAGGAATTATCTTTCACCAAAAATCACTATTTTTGAACACTAAATACCTGTTCCAGGTAACTCTTAAACTAAGTGTAAGTTACAGAATTTTCAGGTTCCAGCAGGTCATAATCATTTTTAGAAACTCACCAAAAATTGAGTTTTCTTCTTTTTGGCATGAGACGAAAGCCAAAATAACCCTTTATGAATTTATTTCAAACCCTCAAAGTTTAAGATTCAAAAACAAACTCTAACTCATAAAAGCAATTACGAAGCTACATGATGTCCAGATTTTTCATATTAGTTTCTATAGGCTGGGGCTAACTTTCAAAAATCACCAAAACTCATATTTATCTCCATTTTACTTGAAACCAAAACCAAACGAATCCTTTTTCAGTCTACATTATAACCTCAAAATTCCAGAATTATTAAATAATCGTAACTTATGAAATGAATAAGAAACTTACCTACTGTCTAGGATTAACAGCACCACTTCTTCTTCTTCCTTTCGGTTTGAGCTCAAGAAAATACTCACCAAGACTTAATTTTCCCAAAATCTCCCCTTTAGACCTTCGGTGAAATCCTTCATTTTTGGTACCCACGCATAGCCCTCGTCGCATAGACCAACTTTAATTCTTGGTTCAAGCGATTCCGACCGACGTAGCCTAGCGGATCGACGGAAGAAAAACTTGAAAACTCTTTTTCTCTCTTCTCTTCCTCCAACGTCTGAAACCAGCCAGCAAATGGGTAGGAAATAACTGAATTTTCAGATATTTGTCCCTTTTATACTTTTAAAGACTTGACCCTCGTCGCATCAAGTATCCTCTTTTGTTCGGGTCTGTTTTTCCCTCCGAAACGATTAAATTTCGTACCGATTTAAACTCAAAATATTTTATATGAACTTTATTTAAAATATTTTTCAACTTTTAAAATTTTTATAAAAATTTCGTTTTTAGGGGTTACCAGACACCCGTCACTTCGAAAAACGTGAAAAATTCGACTATCTCAAAATTTGTCTAGATAAGTAGATTTCGCGAGACGAATCCAACGGTGAGATCCGTTTCATCATCCGAGGTCTAGAAAAATATCAATTTTTAACCTGCACTATAATGACAAATTACCATTTTACCATTTTTTAAGAAAAAATTAAAATTTTTCCCGGGTTTCGCAGCTCAGGCGACTTCTAGAAACAATCCGTCATCACTTCATTTGTCACTCTTGGTCCTCACAACCTATTCCAAGTAACAAGATTGACCACTCAATTGACGGACTCGTGTTTACCACGGAAGAGATCTGTTATCGTTTATATTGTGCAGGATCGTGCACGCACAATTACCATCCGAAACCGTGCATAAATTTATAACCTGGTTTATTTGAGTGCATTACTATCTGGTTCTTCTCTCATTTCAACGACTGTAAGTACCATTCTCTTACCTCGGAATTCAGGACACATTTCTCTCTCTCACACACACACACACACGCAACAGGGTATTGGCCATTACTAGTCTACAATGTGGATGGTGGGCTGCGATGCTGAAGAGTTTAAGTTGTCTCATTCACCAAAGAGTCGAAAACTTCGGCCCTCTCATGCCCAGTCCTACTCCTAACAATACCAAAAGTACTTCGTATTCTACAAAACCAACTCCTTACTGTGATCGAATTCACAGTGCTGATATTTTTGCATGGAATCACCATAATGGTATGTCGCCATTTTTCTCTTACTTTTTTCTTTTTTTCTCGAAAAATCGTTTCAACCATGTATCTTTTGAACCCGTGATGAGAGTTTGTTCTCGCTATAGTTGCAGCAACTGAGCAGAGTAAGAAAGAGATACCCACAGAACCCTTAGTGAGTTCAAGGTGGAACCCAACTCCAGAGCAGTTACAAACCCTAGAAGAGATGTATAGAAGTGGAATAAGAACACACCCACGGCTGATCAAATCCAAGGGAAGAATGTATTCTACTGGTTTCAGAACCACAAAGCAAGAGAAAGGCAAAAACGACGTCGTATACTAGAGGTATTTTCAAAACAACAACCACCTAAGATTGAAAACCTACCGAGAAAAGAATCAGGTAACAACATACATATGATTAATGCCCAAAATTCTCACCATTATTGCTATTTATATATCGGCACCAACTTAAAGTTGAATTCCTTTTGTTTTTTCTTTCTTTTTGTCTGCAGGGTTTGAAGTTGGACAGAAGAACTGAGCAACCCCTTCAAATTGCAGTACAATTTCAGAGGTTTCAATACTGTTACATTTATCTGGTGTTTTTTTTTCTCATTACTCATTTGAACTCAACAACTAGCTACTGTATCATATCCCCGAAAAGACAATGGTGACTAACCATTGAGGGATATGAGAAATGATTAAACTTGAGACCTCTGATTATTAAAGGATATGCCTAACTACTAGACCACTCCTAAAAATTATATTTATTTTGTGCTTGTTCATGTTGTAACACCTTTAAACTTAGTTAATCAGAGATATCTACTCAATATCCCTAACCAATCGAAACGGAATACGTAACATTCTTTCTCACCCAATTGGCTCGGGCCAACCTTGATATAGACAATCGCACGCCTAAAGTCTTATGAACCTGTACGACACTTGCACCACCCAACCAACATGGAATCTGACACCTCTCTCGCTATTACAAGGTCAACTCACTACAAATTCAATAATTATGATTTATTAGATTAATAAATTAAATTTAAATAACATTTTATTGTGTAAAATGGAAAAGCATAAGGGGTAGAAAAGCTGCATTCCTTACATTCTGTTGGGGGCCTGGAGACTATTATTTGCAAAAAAGGGTAGTTTTTTTTGGACAGTTGCGTGAAACATAGTTCGCTTTAATTATTTTGTTGTCTTTAGGACTCTGAATCAATACACAGAGCAGTGGTAGCTGAAAGTAGACCAGATGGGTGGCTTAAAATTGAGGAGAGAGAATTGCAGCAGAATGCAATTACTGCATCAAAGAATGCAATGCGGCAGATGACAAACTCAAGCTCTATGTCTATGTCTATGTCTATGTCCCCCACCACCAAACTCATCATGAAGGACATAACCACAACTGAACAAGAAGATCTGGTAACAACAGACCCAAAGCTGAGAAGCACTCAAAATCTACGCCTATTAGAAGATATCACAATGGTTGAAGATGATGAAACTAGAGGGTTTCAAACACGTCAGCTCTTTCCAATGAAAAGTGATGATGATTGTGGTGCCCTTAAGGGTGACAAAAATGATATTGTTGAAGAACCCATTACTGCTACCATAGCCATTGGAACACACTTCAAGCCAAACAAGTTTTTTGAGTTACTGTGAAGAATTGATGGGAAAAAAAAAAAGAGCAATGCTATTGGGATTTAATTTACTAACATAATTTGTTGACCTAATTCATTGTAACATTTCTTCCACCAAATATTGGAATTTGGTGTTGATCCAATAATTTCCACGAAGTCACATATTATGTCAGCAAATTAGATCAAATTTTTAGGTCCAAATAGTGTTATTCAAAAAAAAAAAAAGAGCATATTGCTAGCTTTGTGGTTGAAAAGAAGAAGTGTGTTGCTTCATGCATGGCTGTGATGATAAAAACAGCAAAAATATCGTTTTGCTTTTGTCTCTTGGTGGAAATTGGGACTTTCTATTATTTACAAGTAATGAAACGACTGGATAATGACATATGATTAGAATCTTATGGACCGGGACCCACTCTAGTATATATATATATTTTATTTTCTTTCATTCTAGTTAAATCACGTATCATTAATTCAAGTTCAACTCAATGTATATAGATCTCTCACTGTCACTAATAAATAATAGATGATTTGATGAGAAAAACAAAAAAATTATGTATTTGATGAGATTTTGATCCGGATGTTATGCTCATTTTTAACTACCACGTTCTTAATCTATTGTAAATTTTAACTTAATTATTTGTGACGTTATTGATACTTGCATAAAAACATGGTTTTTATTTTTTGGTGAGACACTATTGCAGAGAAAGGGAAGTAGGGGACGACGAAGTTTGAATTTGCAACCATTAAGTCAATTGCTAACCTCGCATAAAAAATGTGTTGTTTTGGTCGGATACTTACCAGTATCGTCGTTCTATATTTTTATCCACTAAAAATATTACACGCAAAAAGTTATTTATTTTATTAGTTTGCATTATTTTGTTATTTTTTTTAATGAATTGTTACTAATCGTTAAAACGAATAAACAGTTAAAGATCAAGTTCAATGTTTTTTTTTTATTTTTTAAAGGTTAGTCATCCTTATTTCTTAGGGAACATGTTTCAAACCCATTAAGGCTACAGTGACCAATATCTAAATTTTAGGGTGTAATCGATACAAGATTAAACATCCTATAATCTAAAAAAAAAATTCAATACAACAACTACAAGTAATCTTAATGGAAGTAAAGGAAAAATTATTTGCTTCAAATAAAGAATCGAAAAGAGGCTGTCCAGTAAATATGTTCAATAAAAAAAAAAGGTAAACTAAATTTTACCCTAAAAAGTGATAAGATCCACCTTAAAAAAATGTGAATAGTGAGTCTAAAAAATAATAAGCAGACTCAAAACACAATTACACCCAAAAGTTTAGTAAACTCTCCAAAGAACCAATAAGATGCAAAACACCACCACGCTCCAAAGAACCAAGAAGTGAATGGAAACAATCTACCGTAAAGATCCCCAAAAATAAATAAATAAAGAATTGAACAAGTTACTGTGCAGCGAAGATATGACTCAATTAAGATATATTAAATTTGTGGTTACCTATAAAAATCTGTTACAATTTCGCATTGGTTAAAGATTAAACGTAAATGTTTGAATTCTTGGGCACCTTATGATTTTTAGGGTACCTTTTATTTATAAACAAGTTTTCAGGGATAAGTTCTACTCATGAGTTCATAATAATTGATATTAAAATTAATCATCAAGTTAAGTATGAATATCAAATGCAACGTAAACCGTAATTTTTTGTGGGAGCCACCATTGGCTGAATTAAGTGCAATAAGCAAGACAAAGGGTACCCCGTAACTCCCTCTATTTTGAGTGTTTGTCTGTGGGGACTATAAGCTAGGTGTAGGAATTCAAAACCACAGGGATGGGAATTGAACCATCATCACATCTTAGGTTTGGTAGCCAATTGTCTGTGTTTGCCTACATTTCCTTCATCTTTAGGTTTGGTAGGCATTGGCTAGCTTGGACAGTTATTACGAGTAATGACCTAAAAATTTGATCTAAGTTGTTGATATAATGATGTGATTTCATATGAATTATTGGATCAATACTAAATTTTAATGTTGAATGGAGTCTATAGTGAATTCAAATGTCACAATAAATTATATTAATAAATTAGATCCCAATAGCATTGCTCTAGTTATTATTGAAGAATTCTCTTACTTGGCCAGTTGGCCCCTTTTGAGTCCAAGTTAAAATTAAAAAAATAAATTATTATTTTTGAGAATATTTTTATCCCATTTTTTTTGGATAAATATATTTTTATCACTATTATACTAACTATTTTTATCATTTCTCTAAGTACAAAAAAAATTACCTTTTTTTGGGTGATTTACCACTCTTGTATGTGTTTTTATCACTGTTGTGGGTTTTTTTATCACTACTTTGATAACTATTTTTACCATTTTTTTTTGGTGTCACAATAGTTGTACAAATATTCATAAAAATAATCAATATTAGTATGATACCAAAAAAAAAAAAAAAAAATGGATACAGTAGACAACTCCCGGTACCATACCTTTACCCGTGCTAGTCTCTCTTGATTCAACTACGAACAAAAGGAAACATAATAGAAAAATGTTATGTTGCCCAAGTCTTAGCGCAAATCTTGTATCTCAAATGTAGGTGTACCACACAATAAATAAAAAAATTAATTTTTTGTGACCTACAAAGTAAAAAGTTGTCACATGGACATCGGCATGTTGTAGCCAAAAAAAAATCAATTGGAGTAGGCCAACTCATTTCAATTAAATATTTAAAAATTAGGGAAAAAAAAAATTTTAGAAGGAAAAGTTTCTTAATCACTCTCTCCTAAATTGATTCTTACAATCTATAGTATAAAACATAGATAGATACAATAAGAGAACTGTATATATTTCCTCCAACTTTAGATCATGAGCGATCAACTCAACTCCCTCTGATTTTAATTTCAACAAATTATCACCTAAAAGTTTGAATATACTTCAATTAACCTAAGCCTGAAAAATGACAAAAGTTAATCATGTGCAAGTCACATGATCTGAAATAAAAATAATAAATAAATTTGACATCCTAAAAAAGATTTTAAAAAATAAATATTTTTGAAAAACATAGATATTGTCTTTCGCAAGGGTGATGTTTAGGAGTTATTGATGAAAAAACTAGATGCAGCCATTGGAAAGAGGGGTTTTCGTCGACCGTGAAGCAGGGGGTTTGTTGAAAAGGGAAAGAGAAGGAGGTCTGGCGTCTGGATTGGAAAATGCAATTATTTATACATGAGGAATTTTTATTAATTATGAATAATTTTTTATTTTCATTAAATATGAGATCATGTGATTTGCACATGACTGACTTTTGTCATTTTCATTGCCAAAGTTAACAACCTGGGTTAATTGAAAAATATTATAACTTTTGAGGAGATTCAAACTAGAGGGAGTTGATTGTAATATCATCCAAAGTTAGAGGAAAAATTCTATAATTGACCCAAAAAATAATATTATTTAGACTTAATTTTTTTTGATATAATTTTTCTAACCTAATTCATCACAATTATTGAATTGATAGTAGATTTCAACAAATCCTAAAACCCGCTATCAATCCAATAGTTACAAACGATTAGTTAATAAATATTGCTCTTTTACAAAAAGAGAATCTTACCGCCAAAAGATGAGATACTTGACAGTTGATAGCTTAAACCTAACTAGCTGGGCTGAAGGGAGTTAGTAGAGAAGGAAATTCATTTGCACAGAACAAAGTTTTCCACAACATGCAGTATACATATTATGAGATTTCAAAGTAGTCCTTCACAAATAATTTTTTTTTGGCTTAATCAACAAGCTGCTTAAATAAAAAAAGAACACCAAGTTTATATAGATGCTTCACCATTCCGATCCGGATCAAGAAAATCGATGCGCTAAAAGAAAATGTTTAAACAAAACAAGAAGTGCAAAGAAGCTAGAAGTGCTGGCAAGTATAGAATTGAGGAATGTTACATTAGAAAACCACCTGAATCCGTATGTAAAAGGCAGCTCAATGCACAAGGCCTGATGCCAAATGTTTTCTTTATTTTCATAGAAAGAAAAATTATACTATACAAGTACCCTGAAAGGATGCAACAGAACATAACTATTTATGTTTGATATGCAGGTGGGAGCACTTTTTCAGTGAATATTGATGGCCTGAAAGGCTAGATCAAGAAACAAAGAGGGGCTCTGGATCCACTTTTCTTTTGATCCTGAAAGAAGATTTGGCAAAAACAACAGTCAGTATCACAAATAACTAAAGATCCACGAAGGTCAATGATCATAATCAACAATGTGTACATAAGTTTAAAGTTGACTTGAACTCGGTTTTTACTACAAAGTTTTTCATCTTTCAACTTTTTCACTTTAAAAAGAAATATTGATAGTTAAGGGTACATTGCAGACATGATTGTGTACAAATAATGAGTCGGTCAGAACCATTCTCAAAAGCCAATAATGAATATTAAAAACTCAACTCAACTCAACAAAGTTTTGTCCCAACATTTTTAGGGCAGCCACATGAATCTTGCTTCGTCATTGTCCTCGATTAAGGGTTATGTTTTCTGTTAAACAATAAGAAATAAATATCTTTCTTAACTATTTCATTTAAAATTATTTTTATATCCTTCTCTACCTCTATGCTTACCGTCAATAGTTATCCTATCACTCTGTGCCGTAGTAGATCGTTTATAGATATGTTCAAACCACCTAAGTTGATTTCTCTCAATTTATCTCCTATATGTGTTACCTACACTTTCACGGATATATTCACTCCCATCACTGCTGAGTCTGAGAAGAGTTTGATATACACAGCATTGCAATCTAATTGATTTGACATGTATAAAAGAAAATTTTTTACTTTTCTTTTGTATAAGTTTCTCACTCTTAATTACTCTTGTACATAGTAATGCCACCATTGCAATCTAACTAATTTGCCTACTTATCAAAGGTGCAAGCACACAGAGTTTCATGCTTCCGATACTTAAAGAGGGAAGAGATGAAAACAAATCCTCAAATTTGAAAGGACTTTATCCTTTGGAATACAGTTGCCCTTCCATCAGCTTTCCATTACC